TTTTCCTTATTTATTCTTACATCTACACTTTTTTGTTTGTATCGATGTAGGTTATCTATGGAGTGCCAATCCAACACAAATACTTCTTTTTTATTTTAATATTATTCAAATTTCATTTGAAGTTTGTTTATTTTTCCACTGTATTCTTTTCTCAACATTCATATTGACAACAGTGTATCGAACAAATATAATTCATCGTGATAAGTGGATCTATTTATCTCCGTTCCATAGGTTTGTTTTTTTACTTTACTTCACTCAAATGATGGGTTCGTTGGATTCGCTTTGATACAAGAAGTCTTTTAAAATTAAAATTAGAATTTTTTTTTAGATTTCTTGTTTTGCTAGTTGAATGCTTTGATTGCCACTGCCTCGTATAATCTCTTTATTTATTTTTTTTGATTCTGATTGTATCTACACACCCTTTTCGGGTTGCTAACTCAACGGTAGAGTACTCGGCTTTTAAGTGCGGCTAGAATCTTTTACACATTTGGATGAAGCGAGGGATTCGTCCATACCATTGGTAAAGTTTGGAAGACCACGACTGATCCTGAAAGGGAATGAATGGAAAAAACAGCATGTCGTATCAATGAAGAATTCGGAGAATATTTCATTCTTCTCGAGTCGGTACAAAACCTTCTTTGAATTCTCGGAACGGAACAAAATGAATTCAATTTAAAGTTGGGCCGAGTGAATAAATGGATAGAGCCCTATGGCTTCAATTAATTATAGGGAAAGAAAAAGTAACGAGCTTCCGTTCTAAATTTGAATGATTACCCGATCTAATTCGATGTTAAAAATATATTAGTGCCTGATGCGGGAAAGGCTTCTCCCATGAGTGGATTACCCATTTTTTTAATGAATCCTAACTATTGTGATTCTCCATTATGGAATGGAGATGGGTGTGTAGAAGAAGCAGTATATTGATAAAGAAAATTTTTCCAAAATCAAAAGAGCGATTGAGTTGAAAAAATAAAGGATTTCTAAACATCTTGTTATCCTATAACGAACATAAACCAATTCCATTAAATGGAAAAAGAGAGGATAGAGAATCTGTTGATAAGTTTACCTGTCTCCGAGGTATCTATTCTTTTTTTACTATAATACCTTGTTTTGACTGTATCGCACTATGTATCATTTGATAATCCCCAAAATCTTCTACCCTTCGTTCAAATCTAATTTCAAATGGA